TATATATATATATATATATATATATATATATATGTCAGTTATTGAATCTTGGACGGAATCCCGTGCGGGCGCCAGGTTATGGTAGATGAGGCGGCACTGCGATTGTTAACAATGCATGTGAACTCCACATCTGCTGTGTCTAACTCTCTCACTGTTTATTGTCTTGCCTGTTGGCTTCAGGAATGCTGAGGAGTATATTGTTTGTGTTGTGTATGGTCCGTTAATTTTGGCCAAAACCATCAATACGAACCCTGCATGCTTCACCTCGAGACCATCAAAAAACTGGACTTTTCCTAGAAATGACAATGGGGGTAAATTCAGCATTTTGAACCGCGTTTGTCCGCAGGCTATACAAATAGAGGATTGAGACGCGGGTGGCTCTCTTGTGAAGTAGCCTATTCCTGGGTAAACGGCTGTCCGTGATTTCAATAGGACTGGTCTTCAAAACTACTTCTCTCAATCTTCCATACTTACCCTTCAGTACGAGGACCCAAATCCATTCACTGTATCCCTGACTAAGCCGGCCGCTTTTATCTCCGCTCCTATGCGGGCCGCGAGTTTTTTCTCAATTGGGTCAACCGAGTTATTCAAATCTGCCAAACCTTTCCAGTGATTAAGTTAGCCTAGCAGCCGTGCTGGTGGATTCTAGATGAGTGCTTAGGAAATCCTGCCTGGTTTGTCAGCTAACTGTAGCCGTAACAGTGAATTCCATACGATCAGTAGGTTGGGCGGATTAACGGCTCACGGTGAGTCAGACAAATAAAGGTGTTGTCTCAGTGATAGAATCTTCTTCTTCTCAATTACTTCCTGGGACTCGCATGTTCGCTTGTATTGGGTCAACTTAGTTGTTCAAATTTGCCAAACCCTCCTAATAAGTTAATAAATTGCCTTCATCACTCAGGCATCCTATAGCATTATTGAGTGGATCATTTTACGATGAGGGAATTCATTTTATGATGTAATTTTTTTCTCCCTACGGTCTTCGCACAGCCTGGGATATGCATCACCCGACCCCCCC